GCTAATTTCAGTTTTATATTATCATGGTCGTGAAATATGAATTTCCTATTATAAAGGATGTCTTATTATATGCATTTCCAATTGAATCATGTCTTCAGATATAAAGAGCATGGTTAACTGTTCTGAATGAGAGGGTTAATTAGCAGCTGTTCCTCAGTACTAAAAGAATTATTAAATGTGCTTTAGGATGACCTGAGGTCTCTCTTTATTCTACATCAACTTCACAATTTGAAAAATGAGAGGATTTGAGCTAAGGCCGTGAATTCTTACCTCCTGTTAGTATCATTGCTTAGTGAAACCAAGAACCCAGGCTCAAGGTTCCCCATGTTTAATAACCAATCATTGGGGAGGTAATTTGTAGCCAGTACTCTAGAGAGCCTTTGCACTCTGCATAGAGGGGCCCTAACTTACCAAACTCTCCTAATAACATTTTCACTGTGCAGCAGCCATAGAAGGTATAGTCCCAGTTGCCTTCAGTGTAGTTACTTAAAAGTAGTATGGTACTGGAAAAGTTAGGTATTATGAAGCTATTTTGCTGTGAGAAAACCAAGGTTCCTCATTAATTTGGATTATAACAAGTCAATTAAATACGAGTCCAAATTAAAAGTGAAATTATTTTTATTATAACTTGGTGAGTTCTCTCTGTCCATATCACGGCATAGTCCTATGACTATTTTATAGATTTACCACAGAATTTTACCTGGCAAGAATAATGAAGTAAATTATTGATATAGATATTGAATGGTGAGATCAATAAACACCATGCTACCATTTAGACTTATGAAACAAAGGGCCAATATTCTCCTAGTATTTTGGTCTGGTTTGTATTTTATAATCAAACAGGAATAATCACAAAATGATAGAGAAGATGTGCTTGAAGAGGTCATCTAGTCCAAACCTCTGCCTGAGGCAGGATCATCCTTATCCAAACAACCTTATACAATCCATCATCTAAATTCATTGTAAAACTATGGTCAGCCATGACACAATATGAAGCATAACACCCTAACCTGCCAAAGGTAAAGCAGGGAAACCATAGCAGCTAATGTCCTGCTTCTATAAAGAGGTGTTAATATACACTCAAGAGGTCCCAGATAGAGGGCCATGTCCCCTGCTACAGAGGACTGAAAAAAACCCCATAGTCTGCGCTAGTCTGACCATGGGCTAAAATTCCTTCCCAACTCCAAACAGGGCAATAAGTCTGACCTGAGCAGAGGGGCAAGACCTTCTAGTCAGAAACCTCCAGCTTTGCTCCTAGCAGGAACACTGGCAGACCCCAGTCAAAATCCTCCAGCCTCAGTTGTAGCCAACACCCATGTGTAGCAGGAAGTGGGTGGAGGGAGCAACCAGCAAAGCCCAGAAGCATGGGAAATACTAGATCACCCCGACTGTCCTTTTGAACACCTCCAGTGATGGAGACCATAACTTCCATAGGCAGTCCTATTCTACTACCCCACTGTTCTAACAGTGAAGTTTTTCCTGATATTCAACCTAAACCTACTTTGCTGCAACTTCAAGCCATTGGTCTGCCTCTTACTCTCTGCAGCAAGAAAAAAAAAAAAAGTGCTTTCCCTCTTCTTTAAATATTTCAAGACACCGATCATGTCCTCTCTTAAGCACCTTTTCTGCAAACTGAACATGCCTAGTTCCTTCAGCCTCTCCTTGTATGACTTGCTTTCCAGACCCTTAATCATCTTCATAACCCATCTCTGGATCCTCTTTAACTTCTCCACGTCCATTTTAAAATGTAGAATCCAAGTACCTACACCAGTGGTTTTCAACCTGTGATCTGCGGAACCAGTGGGGTCCACAGACTGTCTAAGGGGTCTGTGAAAATTTACTATGATCAATTAAAAGTATGTAATACTTACAATTCAAAGGGGTTCACACCTCCATTTGAAATTTCCAAAGGGGTCTGCATCTCCATTTAAAAATTTTTAGGGGTCTGCAGATGAAAAAAGATTGAAAACCACTGACCTAGACTGAGTGCATATGTTACAATAGGTTAATTATAGTTAACATGCTTACTACGCCTTAATTTAGAGAGAAGGTTGCTTATGGCCAAGTTATTTCTATCACTGTGAGACTAACATGCATTGTTATATTGGCTCTTTTGAACAACTAAACTAATCAAGTACCATAGCTACCTTTTAAGACACATTCAAATTCTCAGGTACATGCTTGTGCCCTGGTGATGCACTTAGGGAACATGTGCTGCAATGGTCTGTAAAACATTTGGAAAATATACTTTGACACAAAAATCTTAGTAGAGCTTCAATTTCTCTCTGGACTGCTGGTCAGTCTTCTAATAATCTGATTTTAGATATTTTTAGTGGGTTTGGAGTGTTGAAGTGGAGTAGAGTACATCTGGTCCAAGAAGTATGACAGACAAGGATGTTTTGTGATATCTTTTAAATGGATTGACCGTACACCTGCCCTTGAGTGTTTCAGGTAACCTGAGGAAGAGCACATGATACCCAAAAGCTTGTCCAACAGTTCTCCCAACTATGCAGTTGGTTCATTAAAAATATTGGAAAAAATCCTTGTCCCTCAGATATTTTTTATGAAGGGGTCAGATTCTGAAAATTATAATTTACAGTGTGCATATGAAAACAATTGACTTGCGTGTGCACATCAGATTTTAAACATAAGTTACATGGGCATGAACATGTGCAACTGTTCATGCACCAAACTGAAAACTCAGCCTACATGTACTGACTAATAAAACTAACTGCAACTGTGCTATCTAGTTTGGACATTCCATACAAATTCAAGTGTGAATCTGTATTCACCAGTAAATTGTACAAAAAAACATAATCTGCTATAAATTTAAGAAGTGCAAGTATATAGGTGGTATGAAATTTATTTTCAATATCTCAACTGTGTTATGAATTATTCTATATTCATAACACACTGTGACAGGGGGCAACTCTCGGGGCCTGGTCACAGTACTGGCCCACCCATCTGTCTAAGGCAGGCTGCCCAGTCACGCCTGTCACACCTTGTTCTTAGGATAATAATTGTAATAAGTGTAGGAGGCTGCCCATTTTAAGACCCCAGTGCCTAGTGGTTTGCACACAACTATGTCCTTTCCTTATTGTGTCCCATACCTCACAGATAGCATCCTTGAGTTCCTTTACGCTCTGGCTCGAGGCCAGGCCAAACTCAGGCCCTTGCTTGGCCTCATACATTCATCCTTTCTCTCTGTCCCAATGAGCTCCATTCATACCACCTGGTCTCACCGGGCCTCTCGCACTCTGCCCACTCTCACTGGGCCTCTTACACACTGCCTCACACTGGGCCACACTATCTGCCCTGCTTCTCTGAGCAGCTCCCACAGGTCATCAGGATTGCCTTCTTGCACTCCTTGGCTGGCTGGCGTGCAGCCTCTCGGGCCCTCTTCTGAATGACGGCTAGCCAATTCACCTCACCCTGGGCAGAGCTCTGACCCGAGCCCCTCTCTGGCTAACTCATCACTCTCATACACTGACCGATTAGGGTCAATTCCTTGCCCATTTGGCCTTGGGACTATTTGCAGCCTCAGATGTCTGAGGACTTACCTGGGCCTAACTGCACCCTCCATGGGGTTTCAACACATGCCCCCCTCTCTGGGGCCTCAACTTGCTCACACTGGGCACTCTGCTGTTCGCTAGGTTTCTAGCCCCATGTACTCCACCCCTTCACTGGGGTAACTACTCTACTCCCCTCAGTGGGGCCCATACTCCACCCCCATGTAGAGTCTCAGGGTCATACACCCCCCACGAACTCACATGCCTCTCCCTAGGCACGCCTGGCCCACTATCTTTGGGGTCTTACACCCCCATGGGCTCAGGTGCCTCACTCTGGATGTGCCTAGCCCCACTACCCTCCAGTCTTAATGACCTACCAGATGGTGGGGGCTAGGGTTATCAGGTACTCCCACCTGCCTTTCACTGGGGAGGTAACTGGCCTGGCATTTCTGGGGGACTGTCCCACCATGGACAGCCCCACCAGACCACCTTTCCTTGGCAGGGTGCAGTTTCTGGTTTTACCCAGGACCAAGCAGGCTTACCAGTTCTGGTCTAGTTCCCTCTCTGGGTCCTAGATGCAATTCTTGGGCTGCTCACTCTCGTGTCCATCTCTAATGGAGACCTCCATTTGGAATCCTCCCTTCCACAGACTGTATCGCAGTCTCCAACACAGCCAGCCTGCAGACTGACCTCTATCCTCTGTTGGCTGTGATGTCGTGTTGCCCCATCACGTCCCATCCCGCCCCCTCCCCCCCACCAGGACCTTCAGCCTTTCTAGGTCCTGGCCCGCACCTTCAGGCCAGTCGGGGTACCAGATGGCTCTCCGCAGCCCTGGCCTGTCTCAATTGCCCTTCAGTCCTACATTGACCAGTCAAGGGATCAGAAGGTCAGCACGGCAGCCACTGTCCTCCATTCTGTAAAGGGGGTCTCCCTCTAGGTCTCATGATAGAGCCAGCATCCCAATTCTAGCTGCTCTAGTGCCCCCAGCAAGGCTGCATGAGGCCTAGTTCTACTAGGCCCACCTGAGCCCCCTGACTTCAACCCTGCCAGATCTACCCTGGGGATTGCCTGGCCCATTGTAGGCCCATCAGCTGTTAGCCCTCTTGTTAGACTGGACCTTAATTTCACTAGGCCTCAGCCTTTTCCTGGGGTTCAGAACCCCAGCAGGCCCCCTAGGACCCTCCTGCCATCCCCCTGGTTCCTTCCTTACCTCCCAGGTGTTCCATAAGCAGCAGCTCAGCTGGGTATTGTTGCTCCAGCTGCCAGCAACAGACTGCTAGCTCAACCCTGATGCCTGAGCTAAAATGGAGGCAGCTCAGTTCTCTCCACCAATCACATGGCCCAGCCTGTGGCCATGTGACTTTCTCATCAAGGCTGGCCCACACCTGCTGACTGCCCTGCTGTCTGCTCTTGCCCTTAAAGTGGTGGGCACCAAAGGTGCTCCGCCACACATGCTTTCAAGAAGCTCTTGCTCTACATGGAAAAGGATACAAAAATGTCTAGAAACAGAACTCCAAAGCTCCCAATGAGCCAGGGAAGATGGTGTAAAAGATAGAGGTTCCTGAGAGATTTTGCAGCAGGCACTTTTAAAACAAGGCTTAGTCCATAAGTCCAGTTTCCCATCATGGCTAATGCGAACAGCAGATAAGATGTGCCTTCTGTAGACTGTCTTTGGAACTAAAAAAAAAAATATAAAAATGTTTGAATGAAGACTGAGTTGCAGCATAAATAACATGAAGGATTTCTGGATACTTTCAGGATACCTGACTACAATTTCTAGGAGCACACTTCATTCTTTTTCACCTGGAAAACAATTCACCCTATTTCTGATGCTTTTTGTTTTACTAATCTTGGCATCTGTATCATCAAAATTGACAAAAATCATCATAGCTCTTAGGTGTGCATGCTATATTTTACAGCTGCAAAGCAACAAGGGAAGCTAACATGTTACAAAAAGTGAATGTTTATTTCTTCACTAATCTGTTACTCTGTCACTTTCTCAGGTGGAGCCATTTATTCCAGCTTGAAGGAGAGGTGGGAACATCTGTTATTTTGGAAATAAACTGGCGTTTCTTATGTTAAAGCTCTCTTTACCTAACTGAAGTGCCTGTCTTTAATCAACCTATATCAAATTTTCAAAGAGCGGTTTCCCATATTGACAGTAGGAAGATTATGAATTCAGTAATGTCACCATAATGTTTTTGTGTTATAATTTTATCACTAGATACTACTAATTTAGTAGAGAACAACTGAAAGCATGGCCCTGTCTACTGCCCATTTGTTTTTCATGTGCAATGTATGCTTCTTCCCTAGCCTCAAAAATGCAGCTCTTGATTCTTTTATTCTGTGTCCTTTACCCTGTTTGACTAAAAACTTCCCATTTTCCTGCCTCTTTGAAGAAAACAAGTTTTCCTTTTTAACCTTTTTCCATTTTATATAGTCCCAGATGCAAAGTTCAGATTCCAAATAGGGTGCAGGTGTATATGTTCACTGCAAGGGAATTTCCAGCATTTCAAGAAGCAGTAAGCAATATATTTAAATGTATTCAGTCAAAAATATACTTACGTTTTTATACAGTTGAGGAAATCTAGATCCCAGATAAAACACACAAGATATATAGCCACAAACAAATCCTGACAGTTTGATCATACCAAGTGGGTCCTGAAAAACAAGGAAAAGCACACAAATTTTGATAAAAATGTTTCTGAACAGTTCTAATGTTTTGACTTACAGTGTAAACTCCTCTCAAAGCCTGGACAAGACTTCTTGTTGTTGTTAAAATGGCCATTTGGGCTAAAAGATTTGATTTTCATCTTGCAAAGCAAAACAGTATATGGTCCTATATACACGAGAATATAATGCAACCTTTGTTTGTGAAAGGCAGAATGAAGAAAAAAAGATTTTTCCTTTTAGTAAGTAACTAAACAGTAGCTAGAGAGCCAAACCTGCTCATTGTTCTGCTCTCTGTGGCTTGCTGCAGATTTTACTTTTGGTTTGACCCCTAAGCAGCTGAACCTGTTCTTAACCATATTTCTCACATATAATGTGTAATCAAATTTGCAGAAGCTGTTTTTGGTGGAAAAAGGTGAGTGTTGTACATGAGGAAATATGGTATCTAATTTTCAGCTCAAAGCCAGTCCATGCATGCCTTAAAATGTGATGATAAATACATTTTTAGTAAAGTAATCCTTAATGGTGAAAGACCTGGGGATGCCAAAGTCAAAACAAAGTTTTTATACCTAAATACACTGGAAAGTTAAGCACTCTGTGTAGAGAGCAAGACACAACCTTTTCCAATATGTTCAGCAGTGGTTCTTAGCAAACCTTGTATGTTTAAGTTTTCAGTTGAATGCCTAAGATGTAATGTTAGTAATAAAAGGGCATTCTTATGGCATAGTTATTACCTCTAGGAAGTGGTGCATCCTAAAATCTCAAGAACTGGAATAAAACTGCATCTTAAAAAGTGTAAGTTCACAACTCTGAAAACCAGGGAGACAATATGTTGCCCTAAATTTCTTGCCCACATCTTCAGAAGATAGTGCGTAACAGTGAGCCATGCTGCATTTGGTTTGCACTTATTACTTCACATACATTTATTCTCAACAAGCAAGTACCCTAGCTGCAGTAAGGGCAGTACTTTAAATATAGCAATGCACTCTAGATCGAGTAATTGAGATATGCACTCTAAAGAGAGGGAGCACTGAGGTATCTCACGTCACATTTTTTGTGAAGTAAAATCTGAAGCTGGAGAGAAACCCAAGGTCAGAAAAAGGGTCTCCTTTTTTAAGACAGGAAAAAAGTGGTTTTCCAATCAGAGTGCTCCAAGCATGGGGGAGCACCACCATGATTCCAAAGCCATGCTGAGGACCAGACAGAAGGTGGGGGAGCCGAGGCCAGTGCTGCTCCCCCACCCCGCTCCCTGCAAGAGACAGAACAGAGGCAGCCCCCATCATTCTTGATGGGCAATTGGCTAGTATGCCCATAACACTCTATTTGTCATTACTAAAGCACTTTGGATTATCATACAAATTTGTTAGCATGGGGTCCACAATCCTAATATGAGGCTTTTTTTTAAGATGTAGCAAGAAGGGAGAGGAGACTAGGGGCTTACCTACAAAATAAGCTTACCTTCCCTTCTTCCAGCAGAATACTATGAAATTGGTTTCTTAGGAGAAGCTGACTGGGTAAAATTGCACACAACGTTATACAGATCAAGACCCAGGTCACACAGAAATTCTTCAGGTGTATGCTGCCTACATTGACATATAATATGTTAGATGAAAAGCAACTTCTTTCTATTGTTGGATTAGTAAATTTACTATTTACTTATAATTTAAATGTGTTGACATATATACGTACCTAAAAGACAAAATTCACATTCAGGCTACTCCTTAAATTGGCTCCTACTAACACCATTAGGGTCAGATTTAGCTAGTACAATAAGCAAAAAGCTGCCTAGTACAAGGCTAAGTACAGACAGTCAAAAAACCTGAAATTCCAGGCACTTTTACATGTGCTCTGGGAATGGGGGGAGGGCAGTGCTTAATTAAAGTAGCTCTGAAAGCAGCTCAAATTAAAGTGCCACCACATCTCCTGTATCAGTGTCCCTGCACTTAAAAATCGTGGTGGGGCGCTTGAACTCAAGCCTGTTCAATGAGCTTTAGTTCAAGCACCCTCACCACCATTTTTAAGTGTGGGGATGCTGACACACGAGATGCAGAGGCTGCTGGAGTGTAGCAATTGTCACACTCCAGCAGACTCAATTAATCGAGTCTGTTCTGATGCACGGAAATTACAGCACATCAGAGCAGCCTCTGCACTCATGTACAGGTGCCCATTAGGGCTGTGCGAAGCTTTGGGTACTGATTCGATTCGGAGGAGATTCGGCCCAATTCAGTGGCCAAATCTCCAAATCCAAACTGAATCAGGGAACCAATTTAAAGGTTCCCTGATTTTTCGAATTGATTAAAATCTCTCTGAATTGATTCGGAAAAGATTTGGAGAGCTTCAGTGATTTGGGCAGTCCCTGCCTGCTGCAGCAGGGAGCTGGACCTAGACTCCGAGCTGGTAAGTAGGGGGCTGGGGAGGCTGGAGGAGGGGGGAGGGGACCATGGGGGGACCCCTCCCAGGCTCCATCCCCTGCCTGCTCCCTCAGCCTCCCCATGGCTGCCCCACCTGGCCCCAGCTCCAGGTGCTTTAAAAAAAAGC